TAACATAAGCCACAAAGCCGCTTCTCAAAGCACCGCCCTCACCGTCTCCCACCCGACACGCCTGGAGGGCCGGCCCCGCACTCCTGCAGACTACGCCATGACCACTCGAATTTCAATTTTCTGGATTATAAGTGAAGTTGAAACTTCCCCTGTGACTGTCAACACTTGTTTTCTTTTTAGAAGAATTATTTTCTTTTACCTATTCATCTACTACATGTAGTTACTGCTTTTTTCTATTTACAGTCTCTTGCATGCAGGTATAGTTAAATCATCCCTATTCTTTTATTTTCTTTTCAGTTTTTGTTGGCATCTTTTCCAACAAATGCACATTTCAAGTCTTCTAAGCAGTGAAACTCATTCATGTATTTCATTTTCCTTTCATTGTAAGTGTCGCCACCTGAAATCTGAGAAACACCTACTCTAATAGTCTTTTTATATTTTTCAAGTTCAACTTTTTTAAACTTTTCAACCCATCTGGAATTTATTTTGGCATATGGTAATGATTTAAATTGCCTTTCTCTAAACAGTTCACCAACGGCTGCAGTATCGCTTGCTGAGCACATTCAGAGCTGAAGTGGACAGGCGGCTCCGTGGGGACGGGGTCTCAGGGCACAGGGTGCAGGCGCGGTCTCCCCCGTTCCCCCACGGGCGTCCCCGGTCCCCGCAGGGGTCAGCTACAGCTCCCAGCGCCTCCCCGGCCGGTCTCTGCTCTCAAGAACGCCGGCACGCTTCTCCGTGTTCGCAGCGCTGGGCTGGAAGCACCTTTCCAGTTACTCGGATCAGACTCTCAGATCATCTCCATGCGCGTCTCACAGTCGGCGCAGAAGCGCTGGCGGGCGGAGCTGCCCGGCACCTCGCGGGACCCCGACCCCCATCCCCTCACCCCAGCTTCTGCCCGCTCCCCTACCCCCACCCGCCCTCCTTGGGGCAGCCCCGCTGCCTGCTCCTTCCCACCCAGCTCCTCCCGCCTGTTCCTGCTCCTGACCCTCAGACGTTTCTCCCACCGCGCCCTCCCTGCTGCTCCGCGTTCACCGCCGGACCCATGCCCCGCCGCCCGCCCCCCAGCCCATGGCCCGTGTGCCAGCTCAGCCCGCGAGTCTCTACTTGGGGAGCCAGACGCTCAGGGAGACCAAGCCCACTCCCTGGCTGACGGCGCCCCGTGGGTTCTCTGTGGGCCCCTGGGGGGCGCTCAGCACCGCTGTCCTCCACACAGGCGGCTCGGGGCAGTGGCCTGGCCCAGCCTCGGGGTCTCAGGACAAAGTGACTGCAGGCCTCGGCATTTAAAACAAGATCTCCCGGGTGCCAGCGAGGACCAGGCGTGGACAGCCCAGCCCAAGGTCCCACGCAGGTGGAACCCGGCCTTGGGCAGCCGCCCAGCTCTGCCAAGGGGCCTCACCCCAGAGCGGGGCCCAGCTCATGGGAAAGCACCCCCCCGATCCCAGAGAAACCCCAACATTAAAACACAAGAGCTCAAAAGTCGCTCAGTAAGAGGGACAGAGAGGGTCCCCACACCCACCAGCAGGCCGGGCCCCAGGCTGTGCCTCTGATGTCCGAGGTTTCGAGTCGAATGTTCCACAGTAACATTTGGCAACTTTAATAACGTGCTTTTTAACTTAAAAACGATGAGTGGAATATTTTAAGACTTAAAACTAAGAAAAAATATGCTTTAAACACCTTTTAGCTAGAGGTTTATACAGAGTTCACGGCGTCATAATCCACGTCTTAAAATGGGTTGAGCTTGGGACACGGTCCTGGTTCTGGGAGCGGCACCACAGAAAATCACCATCTCGAGTTCGGCTCGTAAACCAGGTGGGTGGCGGCGGCATCACTGCCAGCCCAACTCACTGCTGCTGAACTGCTCAGGGCTTACAGAGGCCTCAAGCCCCAAGGCCCATGCCACGTCCGACCTTTGCAAACATGGGAAACCCCAACTGCTTCTCTGGGACCCCTAAATCTGAACTCCCCAGAGACACCGCGTCAGGTGGGACACCCCAGGGGCTCCGGCCAGGCCCCGAGAGTCGCCAACCAGTCCTGTGTCAGCCATGGGCATGTGCAGCGCGGGCCACGGGCCACGTTGGCTTCCACCCTACTTTACTGCACAGAGGTCAGGGCCAACGTTGTGGACAAGCCTTTGAGGAACAGCTGCCTGTGCTGTGCTTCTCTGCTCCTCTTGGTTCCCTCGCGAGCGGACATGCTCTCTGCACCCGTAGATCTTAGCTCTGCAAGCCAGCACGGCCAGGTGGTCCTGCTCTCCTCAGACAGAGGCCTTGGGGAGCCCGAGCACCCGCCTGCGGCCTCTTCCCCACGATGGGGCGACCCTGCCCACCTCCTACATCCAGCCGTTATTTTGTCGTGGCGGTTTCACTTTTCATTACAGCAAATTCAAAGGTCGCTGGAAATCACAAACCAGATGATGCCATCAGCAAGGACAGGCCAGACACCTTCAGACTGAGCTCCCTGAGGGCTTCCTGGAGGAGGCAGGACACGAGCTCATCCCTGAGGATGTGACTGGGCGGGAGGCGGACGGGCTCCGCAGAGATGGCAGTGCTTGGACTGACGCTTCGGACACCGGTGGGCAAATCCATGCGTCTGAGGCCTGCCAGTGGCCTCCGCGTCGGGCGGGCAGGGGACGGGCCAGGCCTCTCTGTGCCACTGGGCAGGGTGTTCCTGAGCGTGCCCATCCTGAGTCCTTGCCCGCCAGGCCCGGGTCCACAGACTCAGACCAGGAGCTGGCTTCCTCGCGATGTGGCTGGATCGTGGGGGTATTTGAGGGGCGTGGGGGTATTCGTGGGGGTAGTCTGACGAGTTACTCACTGGCCGGGAACAAGGCGCAGAGCACGGGGGCTCCCGGGCCCACGAAGGCGCCAGGCGTCCGGCAGAGGGCTGGGTCCTCCCCTCCCCCAGGAGAGCCAGAAGTCGGGGTGCACTTCCCAAGCTGAAACACCACATCAGTAGCTAGGAAACATCTGAACTATTTCTGAGGCAGCAGCCTGACCACAGGAAGCTTCTGGCCAACACATTCGGGAAAAGCGTGGACAAAGCCGCTCTGAAAAAGATGCAGCTGCAGCGAGGAGACACCCTTGGAACGAGCACACGAACCCACAGCTGAACACAGGATGGAAGACCAGCGTGGTGCACGCGCTCGACCCCGGCCAGGGAGCTGCCCACACGGCGCGGCAGGCCTCTCCCGTCTCCCCGCTGCTCCCCTCAGCTGTGTGTTTCAGTGGATCTGCCTGTGCCTTTCCCCACTCTGTTTCTGGGGAGTCCTCTCACCCCAGCACCTCTGGCCTGCACCCCAGTTCTTGTATGCATAAATAAATAAAATAAATCTTTATAAAAAAAGCAGTTCAGGAAGAAAACTACACAAAGACTTCATTGTTAATGTGCTGTCATCACCACCAGCATCAAAAATCCATTTAACGTTTCTTTCATTCTTTTCCTTCCCACAGAGTAGCTGTGAAGCGTCCTGGCGGAGGCTAAGGGCAGGGAGCAGGCCCTGGCTCACCGCCGCCCACGGCCTGGCCTGTGGGAAGCCGCCCCTGCTGGCCAGAGCCTCCAGGAGGGGCGGGCCCAGCTCCCCGGCCGCAGAGACAGCACCTAGAGTGCAAACCGGAGACGTGCGTGGACACGGACTCACACGGACAGGCAGTGGCGTGGGGGCGGGGGGTGTCCAGCAGGACACCCAGAGGCTGCAGCACCCACCGTCCCTATGCGCCGCTCACCCCGTGGCGCCTCACACAGAAGACCCACACCACGGCTGGCCGACTGCCGTCCAGGAGCAACTGAAATGCTCAGCAAGGATGGGGGGGGGGGGGTGCTAGAAATCAGATGTAAGGGTTGAGGTGAGCCAGAGGACGCAGGATTCGAAGAGAATCTCAGCAGGGGCAACGGCAGCTTGTTGGGAAAACCTCTCGACGCCGCTTCAATGTGGACAGAGAGTCAGGACAGGTCCGAGGGTGCCTGGCGCTGCTTCCTGGGGCCATGAGGGGTGCTGGGGGCAGGGGTGGGGTCACAGGGATGACAGGACCTCAGCATAGTGGGGCTGTGGCCTCACGCGGCGGTTTGAGCCCGGGACCCTCAGCCGGCGCGGCAGCACCCCATGGCAGACTCGCGCCCGCTCGCGCCCCACCCGACAGGCTCAACACACAAAGCAGGCAAGTGAGGGGACGTTTGTGCAGACGCAGCTGTAAACATGCACTGGCTTCTCACTGAGAAGGGCTGGACCTGGGAGAGGCCCTGTAAGGCAGGAGCTGCACGCTGGAGCCTCAGGAGGGGACGTGAGGACAGCACCCCTCGGTGTCCTCTCTCCAGAGAGACCCAGGCAGGTGTGAGCAGGGGCGGAGGCACAGTTGGGTGCCCAGACGAGGCCTGGGGCCCTCCAGGGACGCCTGGTCCCAGACACGTGGGGGCCCCAGGCCCCATGAACACATGGCGGGGGTGGGTGGCAAGGGCCCCTGGAGGGCACTGAGGGCCCAGCCGCTGGCTGCCGGCTCTGTTCCTGGCAGGACATCCCCTGAGAGTCGCCCTGACCCGGCCTCCGCGGGCTGCAGGCTGCACGGCGAGGCCGGCACCCGGCTCAGGTAATGGCGCCAGGATGAAGCCCACACGCACATAAGCCCCTGCCCAGGCCCATGGCCCCTGGTTCTGACCCCATGGCCAGCAACTGGGGTGACCCGCGCACTGCAGATAGGGTGACAGCAGAGGCAAGCCGACCTTTCACGTGGGGATGGTGCCAACCTCGAGGCCGAGGCCGGGAGAACAGCCAGACCCACAATCCCTGGGGCGTGCCAGTCCTGAGACAGGGACACTGAACCAGCAAGCCGGGCCTCCTGACAGTCTTGGGACGAGCGGCACATGTGTCAAGCGAGGAGGAGCCCTCGTCCCGCGTGCCTGATGGACACAAGAGCCCACCCAGGCCAGGCCGCAGGCTGCCATCCCGTCCCCTCGCAGTGAGGTCTGCCTGCTGGACGCACACTGCCTTCCGCACCCAGAGGCCCTACCTGGTCGTCCAGGCGGTAGGTGAGGAACTGCTCCCCCGTGGCGTCCTCCAGGAAGCTCCCCTGCGGGGACAGCGCAAACTCGGGCAGGAAGTAGGCTCCAGGAGACTTCTCCGCCCAGGCCTGGAAGGCAAGAGCACGGGTCAGGGCAGGCCGGCGCCTGGCGGCAGTCTCCTGAGGACCGAGAGCTCTCCTGATGGCCAGGCGAGACGGGAGAGCTGTGCATGGCCCGGCCTAGCTGGACACCAGGCCCAGCGTCCGGAGAGCAGCTCCACGCCCGCCGCCCAGGTCCACCCCAGCCTCAGTCCTCACCCGAAACCCCAGCGGCTCAGCCACAGCCCCGGCCACTGGCCACATTCTGTTGTGGACACATTTCTCCAAAGGCCCCTCCTCCCTCCTCCCCGCTTCCTCTCCTTCAGCCTGTTTGTTTGATAAAAGACTAAAAAGCAAACCTTCTTTCCCAGGAAACAATCACACGTGTTTTCACAAAACTTCCCACGATGTGGACCAGCACGAGGGCGAGCTCTGAGCCGCCGATGCCGTGCCGCACCAGCCCTGGCGGCCGTCGTGGGTCTGCCGTGAGACTCTTCCTCACGGTGCTCTGCGGGTTTATGCCAAACCCCAGGTGGAGTGGGGTGGGCTTGCAGGAAGACCCGTCCGGCTCCAGGAGGCTCCCGCCGTGCCCGGCGCCAGCCCCGCCAGGGAAGGCCGACCTGAGAGCCACGCTGTGGAGAGTGGCCAGCGCTGGGGCCACAGGTAGCCAGTGGGGGGGCTCCGCGGGAATCTCTGTGGCACTTTCTAGTGGACTCTGGACGCAGCCATTTCCTTGGGGACTCAATGCCTGTGCTCCCCGGGAGCTGGCTGGCATCTCGGGGACGTCACCCACGGCCTGTCCTGACGGGAAGAGGCGGAGGCCAGACTGCAGCCCGCGCCCCTGGGGTGCCAGGCGTGAGGGCGCAGCCTCCGGTGTTTACTTGAACAAGATGAGAAAACAGCCCGGGAAGATGGCCCCGCGGCGGGCCGCGGAGGCTGCGGGCAAAGGCACCTGGCGCGGAGCTCGGCTCCGGAGGACGTGTGTGCGCAGGGCCCAGCGCGCCCGGAAGCGGTCGGCTCGCCGGGGTGACGCTGGGGGCCGGGCAGCAAGCAGACCAGAGCGACGTTTCTCGGTGAGTTAGAAACAGCACGTTTTTCCAGCGGGAGAAAGAGACACAGCTCGCGGCCCAGAGCGCCGGCGCCGGCGGGGAAGGCAGGAGACGCCGCCTGTCCCCAGGGAACAGCGGTGGCCCAAGCCCGGAGAGGTGCCTTTGCTCCCTGCACAGCAGCAAGCGCTGGTCCCGCCCCGCTGACCCCGAGTGCTCGAACTGGGCACCCGACGCTTCCTCCCACCGACGCGCCACCCGCGGTCCCCGGGCAAGGACGGGCGGCGAGGAGGTGGCCTCACGCGGGCAGCGGGCACAGGCAGCGGGTGTCCAGGGCGAGGCCGGGGGGACGTGCCAGGGGAGGGGCTGGGAGCTCCGGCCCCACTTGTTCTGAGACCGTGAAGAGACAAGGCCGAGGCTTTCCCATGGGGGGGGGGGGCACCGACAGTCAAGAGCGTAAATTCCTAAATAGGCGAAACCCAAAGAAACACCCCAGGCTCATCGCAGTCAAGCATCCGAGAAAAGCTAAGAGCAAACAAATCTAGACCCAGCTTGGGGGTAGCAGAGCTTCGCCCTGAAGCAGGACTGCAGGCCCCACGTCTCAGCGGGGGCTGGAGGTGGAGGAGGGGCTCTGCCGTGGGGTGGGAAGGCTGGTCAGGCCAGGGTGCCCATCCAGGAGCTGCCCCGCGGGGACAGGGGCTAAGGGTGCTCCCAGTGAGGGTGGCCGGGAGTCTGTCCCAGAGGGCTGCCCTTGGAGACGGCGCGGGCGCTGCCCAGGCGAAGGGCGGCAAGAGGAGGAGCAACCGGGACCGAGAGGCGGGAGGGCAGCAGCCGGGGAAGGGCAACGAGCGGCCTCTCCGAGGGAGCCCTCCTGGGAGCCCTTGCGTGCGACAGTCACGGCCAAGTGACCACTCGGCACTTCATGTGATGGACACGTCTAAGGCGGGAGGATGGGGCCAGCAGGCGTGAGAGCTGGTGCAGCAAAGTCCCTGTCAAAAGAACCCATTTGGGACAGTCGCCATATTCCAGGGGGTGCAGGGAGGGCCGAGGGGACCAGCTTCCACGCGCCAGCAGAGCTGACCCCAGACCCCGGGACGTGGCGGGAGGGGAGAGCCCTGAACCTCACCGGTGAGTCGGCACCGAGTCCCGAGGCGTGTCTGGGCGGCCGGCAGGGAGGCGGGCAGGGAAGCGGGGCACAGACACAGAGCAGCGACGCAGCGTCAGAGAGTTCTTAAGAGCCTCTCACGACTGATGCTCTCCTAAGTTTTCTCTGGCCAACTGAGTGCCTCTGATGAAGACTTCCACAGGCAACTTGGTAGCAGAAGCCAAAGGCCTCAAGACTGCACTTTGCTTTTAACCCCAGAACTATGCCTCAACAAATCCACTTCTCTAGAAACATATTCAAAGAAAAGAATCACAACGTGATCGAAGAGCAGACAGATCTGCGAACCTATTGCAGCAGCATTTGCAACAACAAATAAAACGGACCCACCTAAATGTTCCGCCACTAAGGCTCTGTTAATAAGGTGCACCCCGCAGGCGGCCGGGAACCCCGGCCGGCAGCGCGAGACACACCGGTGGCCTGCAGGCACGCTCACGCCGCGTGGCCAGATCAAGTTACAGTACAGGCACTTTTACGAGTGATTCTTCTAAAAAGAGTATCAGAAACAACCCATGACAAAATCCTAACAATGGGCAGAATTTTTCACTTTGCCCTTTTGCGTTTGCCGCCTTTTTATAATCAATGTATGCTGGGTTTTTATATCAGGAAGAGAAAACACAGAGGTGATTGCAAAAGAGAGTAGAGAGTGTTTTAGAATCCTTTAACACAATAAATGAGTTTTTAATTAATGAAACAGTCATTCTTCCTGTTCTTAAATGGTTTCCCAAATAGAACGAATGCTCTTCTCCTTATAAATGAAGGTTTGGAGAACAAATATTTGTCTGAATATTTGCACAATAATTTATAGCATACATTGGCCAGAGCTGCTCAGTGCTGACAAATTCCAGAAAGTAATTGCATAAAATACTTGGAGAGGAAATTGCTTTATGCTTCCATGCTATTTATGGAAATTAGCATCTCTGTAAAAATAAACCCAGAGCAATCAGAACCCTAACCTTGAAATGTGGTTTCCACAGCCTCGGTGTCGGTGGCCCAACTCCACGGGCAGCACAGCAGGGGACACGGCCGTGGCCTCTGTCATGAAACAATTATCCCTAATTGGGCTCTTCCTCATGTCTCAGTCCCGCGACTTGGAGCGGAGACGCTGGCTTTGGTGTGGCCTTTCTGAGGCGGCTTCTCCTGCCAGTGTTTCTGCACTTTCCTCACTGGGCCTCGCGGCTGGACCTGCATCCTCCCTGGAGCTGCGCCTTCTGAGGGACCAACGACCTCCCAAGAGTGCAGCGAGTTTCCCTTCTTGCGCGCCTGAAACCGCTTCCCAGCTGGAAGGGGCCTCCGTCCCCGGCCCAGGCCCCGGAGTCACTTGTCAAGTTCATCCCTTCAGGTCCTAAATGGTTTCCAGGCTACATCCTCACGTCCAGGACCCGCCCCCTCCCCCAGCCCAGCCTAGGCCTCCCCCCTAGCTGGACCAGGGGTGCCCACCTTTGGCTGGGACGTCCCACCAGCATCCACAGGGCCCTGCTCTGCTGGGGATGGCCTGAGGGTGCCCTGCAAGGCCCCCGGCCTCTTTCCACCTGCCTGCCTGCTCTTCCGTGCAGTGGGGACACAGCTGAGTGGCCCGAGGGGCACTTCTGAGTTGGATGAGTGAGAGTCTGAGGTTAAGTGGGCCGGGGCAGGCCTGGGGCCCTGGTGGGGGAGGCTGAGGTGGCTGGGTGGGTGGCAGGGAACTGGGCTTAGGAAGTGCTGTGGCCCCCAGGGGACCCGTGGGGCAGTGGGCGTGTGGCCACGCTGGTTTGCTCACCAGGGCTGGCACTTGTGCTCAGATGCCATCATCCCCACAACACGACTAGGACATTCACCTCGAGTGGCCACCGAGGACGAAGCCAGGCAGGATGAGGCCAGGCAGGAAGACCGACCTGACATAAGAGCCAGAACACGCCGGCCAGAACACACTGTGTGGGGAGGGGTGCGTGGAGGCCGACAGGCAGCAAGCGCCCTGGCGCAGCCCGTGGGGATGCAGGTGGACTCGCAGAGCGTGGGCACAGGTCCTGCACTTCACAGGTGCCAGCATGCGCCTGAGCTAGCCTGGAACACCGGGCTCGCATGGTGATATTGGGGTGCATCCCAAAGTGCCGTGGCCGTGGTCACTGCTAGTCAAAGTGGGTGCTGGCAAGGTGGGGGGCGGTTCTTGACGGACGAGATGGAAAGCGGAGCATAAAACGGTGTTCAGCACGATCCCAGTTCTCAAAACATAACCTGAGTGTTTACATCTGAGCCGGGGTCGGGGGCGAAGGAGAGGGGGCGGGATGCAGTGGGATGCCATGGCGGGAGTGTGTGTGTGTGTGTGTGTGTGTGGTGCAGTGGAATGCCGTGCTGGGAGTGCAAGGCACACCTTCCGTCTTGACTTCTCTCTTGCACATTCCTACAACTGCGACGCTCTGCTTGCCTAATGGACAGGCTAGCAGCTGTCTCTGCATGCAGAAGGCCCCATGGCTCCACGCACGGCAGCGGGAAGTGCCACAGAATCTGGCTGGGAGCTCTGAGGACTCGGACAGAGGCAGGGAGCGCAGCAGAGAGAGAAACGGACAAAAAGGAGGCCCCGAAAATGCTCCCATGGGAATTAACTGGCAGAAGAAGCTGGGCGGGGGTTGAGAGAGGGGCATGGTGGAGCCTGCCCACCTCGGGGGAGTTCAGCAAAGAAGGGTCCCGGCCCCCATCTTTGGGTCTGCCTCCCCCTCAGCCCTGCGGGCACCAGCACTGGGCCCAGGGGTCAGCGCTCTCCTGCATGCTCCCGTGGGGCAGACACCTACTCCTCGAGTAAATGCCAGGCCCTTCATAGGCCCTGAGGACACGCCAGCCACCAGGTCATGTGCCAGGGTGTCACACCTGCAGGGCAAGTCGGAGCCAGCCAGCAGGCCAGGGCCAGCAGCTGCGCACCAGGGGAGGGAGAGGCAGAGGCGGGCCAGTGGGACCCCGGGACACAGGCAAGGAGGGCAGAGCGTGCCAAGGGGCGCCTGCCACTCACTCGTGGACGCAGCTGCACGCGCCCCGGCCCCGACATTACCAGGCGACCCGACCCCATCAAATCACTACATCCACGGTAAGCAGACTGAACACATAGACTGGACCGAACCCCGAATAGCTGAGAGCAACCCGCTGGCCCAGCCCTCACTAAGGGGTGCAGAGGCGGGCTCGGGACTGGAGCATGGCCGCGCCTCCGCCCCGCCAGTAGAGGGCCTCCCGCGCGGGCCCCTGCTGTCGGTGGCAGGAAGCCGACTCCGACAGAGCAAGCGCCTGAGCGGGAGGCTGGATTCGCCCTCCTGGGTGCCCTGACGGGTGGGTTCCTGTGGCCCACAGGCAGGACCTACCGACATCCAGACACCGGCCTGCGCGCTCCCGTGCCCTCCAGTGCTCACTGCCCCACCGGCCACCACTCTGCAGACGCCAGATATGGAAACCCCAGGGACTGAGACTCCTCGGGATACACACTGCCCTTGGCCCGAGGTCAGCAGAGGAGACCAAGCCCCAGGAAGCCGCGGCCGCTGAGAGGAGCAGACACAGCGACCCCGGGCCCGTGTGAGGTGAGCGGTCCGGCTGGCAGGCAGGCTCCTCTGCCGACCGGAGGCCCTGGCACCTGGGCTGCTGGGCCGGGTTCTAGCCACAGGGATCTGTTCAAGTCTAGGGATGGTGCAGACCAACCAAGCAGGTGACCGGGAGGAAGGTGTGCCTCGCAAACCAGTCTCAGGAAGCACAGAGCTCACTCGGCATCGGGGCTGGCCGGGGTCTGAGCCCCGGCGTCCAAAAGAGTGCAAGCCTGCCCAGCCCGCGGGGCCAGAGCTCTCCTGTGTGCTCCTGCGCGGCGCAGCAGACACCTGAGCCTCGAGTCAATGCCAGGCCCTCCATAGGCCCTGAGGACATGCCGGCCACTAAGTCCTGTGCCAGGGAAGCCACACCCGCAGGCACCCCACTGCAGGGACCAGGGCGTCCCTGTGCACACGGGGCTTGTGTGGGCCACCACGTGCTGTCACACGGCACTGCGTGGACTGGCAGCGTCCCTCAGGGCACAACACTGATTACAACAGGCCCTACACTTTTCTATCTGGGGTGGCAAAATGCTTTTCGTAATCCAGGGTACACACATATTTGCCTGGCTGCCAGCACAGTAACACTGGGTGGCGTGAAAGGGGATCTGGGTGATCCAGCCATCTTCAAGAACAGGGAGACCTGGCGATCCCGGGCCTGCATCCAATGGCAGCGGTCAGCTGGAACTGGTAGAAGCGGCTCTTAACAGATGGCATGCATGCCATCTACTTTGCCACTGTCTCCACCACTCCCTATTGTCTCTCAAGACTATCTGCCTCCTTTGCTCGAGTCTGCACTATAGGCAAATGCAGATACAACGCTTGAGGTGGGTCCTCCAGGCCAGCAGGAAAGGTGGGAGCTAAAGCGAGGACTCCCCAGCAGCGTGCCATCGCTGATAGCAGGAAGCTCAGGGTACTCACTTAGTGGCTAAGTCCAGAACCTGGGCCCTCCCCATTCATTGTGTCCTGGCCTCCAGTGGCCCAGTCTCCACTGCGCAGGTGCAGAAAGCCATTCTAGACTGAAAAGAGAGGGTCATCTGAGACCCAAGTCACAGTCCCCAAGAGTTCTCATGGTCCCTGCACTGAAGGGGGGGCAAACCCAAGGGGCTTGGTGCCTGACGGGTCAGCCCGAGATGCCAGCGCTGGAGGACGAGAAAAAGAAGCAGCAGAGCGTGGTCATGCCACATCGTAGGTGATCCAGAGTCACACCCCTAAGTGAGCAGAAGTTGACCCCACTCTGGCCCCTTCCCGTTACCTGCAGGAGGGCAGCAAGCATGAAGCCCGCCCATGCCGGCAGCCAGCAGGACCTCTTCCAGGAAGCCATGGGGCCAGGTCCTCGGGCTCACGTGCAGCCTGTGGAGGAGGAGATGGTTCAGGCAACGCCAGCCCAGCGCTGCACTCACAGCCAAGACCAAGCCGAGGGAGGGCCCGAACCCACGGCCGGTCTTGGGAAGAGGGTGTTGAGCCAGGACAGGCTACCCAGTGCAGGGGACAGGCCCTCTGCAGGAGGAGTCCACAGCCGGGTCGGGAAGCCACACTGGACCTGCCTCCGGAGCGGAGCCCTCTGCCGGGCCACTTCCCCGGCCGTCTGTGAGCAGCTGGGTGTGGCCCCTGGTGAGGGGCTCGGTGTGGAGCCAAGGGCTCCGGCACCTGCCAGCTTCTCTGCTCCAGGCAGCAATGAGTGTGAGACCAAGCAAGCCGGAGTGCGTGGGGAGCTCTGCGCTCACACAGCCAGCCAGGGCTGCCGGGCAGAGGCGGGTCTCCTGATAGCTCAGGGCCTCCCCCCCAGATGACGCCCTATTCCCAGGCCAGACCTGCGGCCAGAGGGCCTGGGACCTGAGCTGGAGCCCCCAGGGCACAGCCCGAGCGTGGGATGGTCTTCCAAGGGCCGGTGGGGGGCTTTTCCCGGCTCTCCCCACAGCCTGCAGGGAACAGATCCGAGTGGAGCCTGCACAGGCCGAGGTCACACCCGCCTCGCGCGTCAGCTCGCGGGCGCCTGGCGGGCCGGTGTCCGGGGGCGGCCGGTGGCTCCTTTCCGTCTGGAGAAAGCATTAAGGGCCGGGCCTAATGGGATCCACAAATGTGCTGCTGTTTCCGACCGAGGCGAGGCGGCGACTCTGGCTGGGCGAGCCAGGCGGCCAGCACAGGCCGGACCTGCACGCTGCCCGCGCGCCCCTGTGCTCCCTCCTAGTCCGAGCTGGGGTGCTGCCACCCACGGGCCAGCCCCCAGACCTCTGACACCCTGGGCTCCAGGCTGCCCTTGCCGCCCACTTCCTACCTAGAAACCCCCAAACCTGAAAGCCGCCAACCGGGTGCCGGTCCCCCCAAGCCAGGGCGCCCCTCGGCCCACCGAGAGCCCCGACAACCCCTCCCCATCTCTGCCAGCACCCCACGGAACGCCCGCGCCCGCTCCCTGCTCCCGAGGCCGGGGCGCGCGGTGCCCCTCCAGCTCCAGGTCCCCGCTGGCCGAGCGGCCCTCCCGGGGGGCCCTCCCCAGGCCCCGCGCCGGCCGGCACCCACCTGGCGCGGCGGAGGCTCCGACGGGCGCCCGGACCAGCGGCGCGGGCTCCGGGACGACCTGGCCGCCGCGCCGCCGCGTTAAATGGGGCCGGGCCGCCCCGCCTCCCGCCTCCCGCCCGGCGCGCCGAGCTGCCTGGCCCGGGCCCAGGGCGCGGGGCGCGCGCCGCCACCTGCACCCCCGGCAAGTGCAGGGCGCCCCGAGACGCGCGCGGGCGCGGGGGCCGGCGAGACGGGCTGGCACGCGCGGCTGCGCTTCCTGGAAGCCCCTCCTCGCGCGGCGGCCGGGCGCGGGGCCAGGAGCGCTGCGAGGCCGGAGCCCCGCCAGCCGCCGCCCCCGCCCGGCCCGGCGCGGACCCTGCCCGGAACCGCGGGCTCCAGCCGCGCCGCGCTCCCGGCCGCCAAGCCCCGTCGGACCCCAGCGCCCCGCGCACCGCGTCGGGCCGGGCGCCAGGCCCGACCACGGGCCCCTCCCTGGGAGCCGCAGCGTCCCGGCGCTGCTTGCTGGCCGCGGGGGTGCAGGCCGCAGTGGGGGGCAGTGTCTGCGGGAAGGCTGCCTGGGGGTTTCGGAGGGGAGGGGAGGGGAGGGGTTGGCATGGCCCTGCTGCCCCGGCCTATGGGAGCGGGACGCAGCCAGGCCCTGCGGCCAGCAAGGCCAGCCTCGCCCAGGCCTCCCACCAGCCGCGGCCCTGCCTGGCGGCCCCGCGTGCAGCTGTGCCAGACCCGGTGCAGCTGCGAGTCTCCACCAAGGTCCATGTCCCCATCAGGAGCTGGGACTCGGCCTGAGCGACTCCCGGGAGCCAGCAGGCGCCTGGACCCCCAGAGCCCAGCCTCTCTCTAAAGCACCACCTTCCCGCCCGAAGCTGTGCTCTGCCCGCCTGCTGCGTGGCTGGTACTTTCCAGAAGCCGCTGGAGTTTCATTACGGGGATCCCGGACCTCCACCTTGTCTTCCATGCACCCCCCAGCCAAGAGGGGGACCCCTAAGGCCATCTCTGCCCTCCCACTGGGCTGGAATCTGGGGAGGAGGGTGGGAATGGGGGGGGGCTCCTTCTGAGCTGCTTATCAGCCCCCAGCCACGCAGGGGAGGCGGGGGCACCGCCCGCGGCCACGTCTGCGCCAGCAGGTCCATCCGTAGCCTGCGCCGTGTGGTGTCGTACGTGGCCGTCGTCACTGCCCTGCCGCTCGCTCAGACACCGAGAAGGCCACTGACCGGGTCTCCTCCAAGGCTCCTCCAGCCAGGAGCACCAGGCCCTGCCAGCTCTGCCCTTGGGGGACCGCTTTAAGCAGGAAAATCACCCAAACTAAAACGTGACGAATGGCACCCCCGGGCGCCCGAGACTAGAAGGCGAGGTCGCCCTGACGGACCTCGGTTGACCCTGGCCGGAAACATGCAGGCCAGGCCACTGAGCACTGTCCCCTCCCGGGTGACCTGGGAAGTGCTGCCTGGCCCGAGGGCTGCGGAGGTTGGAGAGGAGGCACGGGCACAGCAGGGAACGCCCCGAGGTGCCTCAGGACTCAGAACGGCCTCCCCAGCACCGACCACAGCGTCAGCTCGGGCTCCCCGCTGGGAGGCCGCCAGAGAGAAAGGTCTGACCCCCAGGGCCTCGGGGCCCCCCGACCCCCGTGCAGCCCACACTCTGCCAGCCCCACGGACGCCCCAGGAGAATGGTGACGCGTCCCCGTGTGGCAGCGGGCCGGGGCAGGCTGTCCGGGGGCTGGGCTGGGCACTCTGGGCCCGCGGCCTCCTTCCTGCTTCTTCCTCCCTGCGCCCGCCTGGGACTCCCGCTGGGACCCCGTGACAGCAGCCGGCCCAGCCTCGTCTCCACCGGCGGCCTCTGCTGCGAACGGTTGGTCAGGGCCAGCGGCCTTTGGGTGTGGCTCCCGCGCTGGCGTGGGGGGGACCGGGAGCTGAGGACAGCTCCGCCCGAGAGGGCTGGAGGAGCACCGGCAGGCCCGGGGCCCCCACTCCACCCGCTGCCCCACCCGCTGCCCCGGGGGCCAGCCCAGGGCCCAGAGCTCTCCCTCCCCACCCTCTCGCCCGCCCGCCGTGGCCCCAGGCTAGCGCGCCCTTGGCTGGCCACGGCTGGGGGTGGGAGACCAGGCCTGGGGGAGCGAGGGGCGGGGGGCAGGTGCTGCCATCATGCCTGCCCAACCGGCCACTTCCTGGGCCCGACCCCCTGGGGAGCCCGCGCGCCTCCCCCGCAGACTCCTCCTCCCCGCCTTCCGCCGGCTGCCGGTGCCACTGCCTCCTGCTGGGCGTCCGGAGGCCACAACCAGGCACAGTGTGGGCACCGGTGGGACGCGGGGTGTGGGGTGGGGGCACGCGGTGGGGGCGGAGGCCACTCGTCTTCCCAGGCATCGGCCTGAGCTTGTTCTTGACACAGAATTACTTTTCTGGTCGGGGGCACATGAGGGGCCTGAGCCCCGGGCTTGGAGAAAGGCCCCGGGTAAGTCTGGGCAGGCATGGTGACTGCAGCCGTGGGGGAGGGGCACGCCCAGCAAGGCGCAGGGGTGTTGCGGGGTGCTAGGGGGTGCCACAGGGTGCTGGGGTGCACAGGAAACCCTGCAAGGCGAGAGGCAGGCTGGGGGGGTGAGTGAGCAGGCCTTAGCCAGGACAGGTTGGCCCTCCCTGACTCTCGGGGACACTGGAGCAGAACCACACAGGGGGTGCCGTGGTGAGGCCTCCACATGGCCCCCGTCAGCACCTGCCTCCCCGAGTCGGGTGTGGAGCCAGGACCCCGTGGCCCTGAGCTGAGGACTCTGTGCTCAGGTCGCTCCAGGCCCGTCCACAGAAGGCCCCATGACTGGGCATTCCGGCCAGGGAGACCGTGACGTCGGCCCAGCGACGGCCCCGCACGCTCTTCCCTGCCGCTGGCCGTGTTCGGCCTCCCCGTGCTGGCACCGAGCCAGGTTCTGACGCAGGCACTTGGGTCCCTGCGGAGTCAGAGCAGCGTCGATGCACAGCCCAGCTCAGCCAGCGCGGCCCTCAGGAGCCGCGTCCTCCTGAAAGACAGCCCGGCCCCCTCTCCGGCCACCGTGGGGCCAGGGAGATCCCAGAACCGACCGTGGGAGCGAACGCAGGGTGCAGGCCAGGGCCCGCACCACGTGCCTGCTGGGGGCCCGCCCCGCGCGCCCGCAGCCCACGGCCTGCCCAGCCTGCGCCCCGGGCTTGGGAGTGTTTGGGTTGGCGGCCCCCACAGGAAGACCTGAAAAGTCTTGTTTCAAATAGAAGTTAATTAAAGTATTTCTGTGTGTTGAGTTTTGCGGACCACACTTCACGCTTCGAGGCTCGAGAGCCAACCAGACATCGCGGCCCTGCCCGGCACCTGGCCGTGACCCGCCCGCACGCCCTCCCCAGGCCCTCGGCTTCCGGCCTAAAGCACAACCAGCAGGGTGACAGGCGCCTGCTGGGGTGACGGTGCATGTGGGTGTGCCGGGCCCAGGCCAGGTGGTGGGGGTGGGGGTTGGCAGCACTGGCAAGAGCACAGGGGCGCGGCGCAGAGGTGTGGGGCGGGGGCGCGGGGAGCCAGCTCAGCAGCTGCACCAGCTATTCCGCGGGGAGCGACGTTGCGGGCAGTTCCTGGTCCCCATGCACCCTGCTGGGAGACCGCCCCAGGACGACCAAGACCTCAGGTGTGCGCTTGAGGCCAAGGGTGTGGTCGGCAGGCTGAGGGAGACACTCTCTCACCGCACACCCCAGGACACTCGCTGTGGCTATTGGGTCATGTTCTCCCACATGTGTGAGCATGCATGAGTGTGTGCGGGCGTGCGTGTGCGCCCCCACTCCTCGGAAGGAGACGGGCAGCTGTCTGGATGGACAGGACCTGCAAGCTCCTCTCAACCGGCCTGAGACAACCACCCCCGGGGGGGGGGGGGACCGCCACTGGCGCCCACTGTGGACGCTTGCAAGCGGCAGGGCACCCCCTCTTTGTTAGGGACACTGTGACCCCCACCCCCAGCTGGACACAGCGAGGGGACGAAGAGCGTGGCCGGAGCAGCGTGCCGATGGGGAGCTCCTGCGGAGGACAGCACTGCCTGCGCCGCCCATGTGGCCTGAGATGCTCCCGGCCGACCCGGGGCCCAGCTGGGGACCCCTGCTGTGGTCTTGAGGGGGCCCAAGGCTCTGGTGAGCCGGGTCCCGCACACGGGCTGCGCACTGGCAGGTCTGAGCCGCCGCTGGCCTGTGACACACAGGGGACAGTGGCTCCGTGTCCCCCACTCGAGCGAATGGAGCAGCAGTTGGCCGGTCCTGCCCGGCTCATCCCTGCGCGGCCTCGGCTGGGAAACACCCTGGGCGCCGCAGACCGGAGCCTGGGCCTCGGCTCAAACCGCCCCCTGAAGATACTCGAGCACGCGGACGCGCCCGTAAATAAGCATCTTTATTTGGCCTGAAAGTCCAGTGAAAGGGACACCACGTCTCCGTCGCTTCGTGGATGACGGGAGGAGCCAGCCTCCAGGGCGCGGCCCCGCGTCTGTCGCCCTGAGAGAGCAGCTCTCCCCCGGCGTCCCCGCGCGTCTGCCACAGTGCAGGGTCCGATGCGGACGCCGGGCGTGACACGAGAATCCAGGCGGGGAGGAAGACACGTGAGGCCCACACGGGAGCCCCGGCCGCCGGCTGCGCGGCCCCACGTGGCGGAGACGTGCTGCCAACCCGCAGACTCCTCTCACCCTCCCGGTCCTGCAGCCCCAGCCCCAGCCCCAGCGCCCGGCCTCGCTCCTGCCCCGGGCAGGCAACACGGGGTGACAGCACAACCGAGGATCCAGGAACACCCCTCGAGGATCCCTTGCCTGTCGCCCGAGGCCCCGCAGAGGAGCACGCTGGCGACTGCATCTGGGGCGCAGCGTGTGCACAGGACTGGCGGTGAGGACGTGGACAGAGGGCGGGGGCCAGCCGGGGACACATGTGCCACGGAGCAGCCACTGGACGCGACTCTGCACCGCACAGGTTGTGCCCCAAGCAGGGCTCTGATGGGAGCCTCGGGGCTGTGGCTGGACCAGGAGTCACGGGCGAGGACAGCCAGGGGACCATCGGGAGCCCCGAGGCGGGGCTGGCTCCGCGGTTCCAGCCACAGAGGGTCATGTTGCCCTCTGACGCGGGGTTTGCAGGGGCAGGAGCAGGGCTGGGAAGTCCTCCCTCTGGGATCGGGAGACGGGCCGAGGGCTCCTCGGCCTGTGGCCAGGGTGGGGCCGTGGAAGCTGGCCATGCAGTGTCCACTCACCGTCTGCATGAGGCCATGTCTGGGCTCACCGTCTCTACACGCTATGTCACGGACACGCGTGGTGCGCCTCCCGCGAAAGCACCAAGAGCTTCTTCCCCAGAAAGCAGAATGGAGAGCCTGTCGTCGGGCCTGGCCTTCCGCTGGACTGGGCGCTTCAGCCCCATCTGCTGTCCGCCCACGCGATGAATCCGCCCTGAAGCCGGCCCGCCCCCGGCTCCTCGAGCAGGGCCAGCCGCTGGCCCTGCCGGCGGTTCTTCCCACCGTCCTCAGGCCTCCTGCCCCGGAGTCATTCCAGGGGTTTGATGAAGCCCCAGGCGGGCCCGAGCTCATCCCCTAAATCACAGCGCGGGGTGGGGTGGGGGGACAGACCTCGCTCTTCAGCCGCGACTGCAGCACAGGAGGAGCGGAGCCGCCTGCCCCACGCAGACGCTGCTCCCCGGCCCCTGGCCGAGGCGCCTGGCAGGAGCGCCAGGCACGGGCGCTTGAGGGGCCCAGGGAAGAGCCCGCTGAGCAGACAGACCGGAGGTGGGGAGCCCCGAAGCCAGAGCAGCACGTGGTACCCGGTGCGGGAAACGTGGGTCCAAGTCTGGACGCCAGGGCTTCCTCGCGCTGCACCCGAGTCAGACACAGGCAGCTCCGGCTGCAGAAGGACCCAGAGCCCGCGGCTGCCGCGGCACCTGCCGAAACGCCGGAGGGTGCAGTGCACACGGGCCAAGACACCTGCTGGACCGCAACCATCGCCGCTGGGTCCCAGGCCGGCACCAGTCTCCTCCTCTGCCCCCCAGGGCCTTCTGGGCCCCAGGTCAGAGCAAGCCCAGGCTGTGCGCTGACCCATGGGGTCAGGTCCAGGCTCCGAGCGTGTTTGCTTCCGGCGGCCACAGCGGGCTGGCCCCGGGACCCGACCAGGTGCCAGCTGGCAGGCGCTGTGCCCGGCTCTCACGCACCCACTTGGGGAGCTCACGGAAGGGGGACCCTATCCCCAGAGGAGCCGGTGGGCCAGGGGAGAGCGAGCCCCTTGGCCTGGGACCAGCATCTGGTCGCGGCCCCCGGGGGCCCCAGCTGCAGCCTGAGCCCTCCACGGTCAGGACGCCAAGGCCTGGCCCAGTCAGCGCGGCTCATCCACCGGCCGCTCGAGGTCAGCTGGCGGCACAGGCCAGAGGCCGGCGGTCGTGTCGAGAAACGGCGCCTGACTTCCCCGGGCCCAGGCGCGGAGCCGCGGCGCCGGTGCGCAGCGACGGGAGCAGGCCTCTCTCCGGCAGCGGGCTCGTGTTTATTTACCGGGGCTTGCAGCACGAGAAGCAAAGAGGGAAACCGTGTGTGCGTGGAGCGAGGACGAGGGAATCATTTATACAAAGTAAATCGATAGAAAATACGTTATAAAGACACAGGCGAAAGCCCGGCGCGACCGCCCGCAGCGGCCTCGGGCGCCCGCTCACCGCGGCAAAGGCACCACCACCTCCACATAGTTAATGGGGAAGAATCCGGACTCCCCGCGGACCTCCCCTTCGTACCAGTTCTCGTCGAGCTGGCCGGTCAAGGCGATGACGTCCCCTTCTTTGAAGCCCAGCTCGCCTTGGTTCTCGGGCTCGAAGTCGTAGAGGCCGCGGCAGCAAGGCCGGCTCCCGGGCGCCTCGGGGCCTGCGGCACCGCAAGGACACAGGAGCGCGGGTGAGCGAGACCCGCTGCCCGGGGAACGCCGGACATGGGGCAGGGTCGGAGGAGCCTCCCTCCCCGGCTCTCCGGGCTGCCGGCCGCAGGCGGCCTCTGGGCAGTGGGCGGCCCGCTGAGCCCGGGAAGAGAGGCCCGCGGTCGGCCGTCTCCCAGCTCAGGGGCGCAGGCTCTGCCGGGCGGCCTCGGGATGCGCCGGGGGGCGAGGGGCCACCTTTCAGGCCAGGGATGCGGGCGCCTGGGGTGAGCTCGGCCCCCCCGGAGCTGGAGGCCGGCGGCTGGGGTCCCGGGTGCTCCGGATGCTGAGCCCGAAGTTCCCAGGGACGTTTGTGAAAAAATCATGTTTGATTCCAAAGCAGGACACGGTCACGGTCCGAGGAAAACGAAGGCGTGTGGGGCAGCCAGGGAGGCCCAGCCCGAGGTGGCCGGCGCTTTGCTGCCTTGAACGCGAGAGTTGCACAAACACAGCTCTGTGGAAGCCGCTGAGCCCCGGCTCAGCCTCGTGGTCGCCGGGTCCCCGCTGGGCCTGTGTGGCCGGCCCTCAGCCGTCCTGTCCCATCCGCGTGTCCCGAGCCCCCAGGGCCGCCGTCAGCTCAGAGTAAAGTGCCGCTCCCCGCTCCCCCCGCCACAACCAGAGACCAGACGGGGGCGTCTCCACGGTGGGTCAACGTGAAGCCCTGGGGGCCGGGGGTGGGGGGCTCTACAAGTACCTCACGGCCTGGGGAACCCCGAGCCGCACCCCCCTCTGGGGGGACTCAGGGACTGGGAGGTCCTCCTCCCGGTCCTTCCCCCTTCCGGCACTTCATCCATGTCCTCCACACACCAGGAGCCGCATCCGGGGTCCCTGCTTGGCTCAGGGGTCCCCCCTCCTGCAGGGCCTCGGCCACCATGCAGCTGAGCCCAGAGCGGCCCCAGGTCAGGATGGCAACACTTCTCTCACCTCCAGTGTCCCAGGAGTGGGCACCACCCCCCACAGCCCTGTCCACCATCCTGGACGGGCAGATGCCCAGCATGTGGGCTCCTCCTGGGTGACGGGCAGCTGGCCAGCCCCTGTGGAGGCCCCGACCTGTTGCGCCAGCCAGATGTCCCTGTGCAACTCCCGCCTCCCCTCGCCGTCACCTGCTGCGGGAGACCCCATGTGGACCCGGCTGGCGTTGCGTGGTGACTGCAGCCCGGCACTGTGGCGTGGACACGCCAGTGGGAGCCCAGGGGGCAGCGCAGTCCTGCCCGCTGCCCACGCACGGGGCGGTGGTCCGTCTGGATGCGGCTCCCGGAAGCGGCTCGTGTCCCTTTCACTTTTCTCCCTTGCGGGCCCAGCGGACAGGGAGTCCGGGGCAGCCCTGGCCATGGGGGTGTCCCCAGAGCACTGAGCAGCTGCTGGGGGCCCTGGGGGCTCCATGGGACCCCACCTCCCTGAGAAGCAGCGGCGTAAGTGCCCTGGGGAAGTACCACAGCCTGGCTGCAGGGGCGGCAGGAAGAGACCCCACCCACGCCGCTTCCACCCACCAGGCTGCAGCTGTGACATGGCCCCGGGACTGACAGGCCCCTGCGTGGGCCCCAAGCTCGCCAGGACACCGCATGAGCCGTGGCATCGGCCATGCCTGGCACACACAGCACACACCCAGGCAGGGACCGGCCACACTGCCGACCTGCCCCTCTACGAGCCAGAGAATGACCAGCCCCCATCACGCTCCACCAGCCCAGGGACCCAACCTGCCATCTCCCCAGGCCCAAGACTGGCGCCCGGGCCTGCAATGGGCCTCGGGGTAGGCCACGAAGCCACGCCCACCAGCGCACTGTTCAGAGCCACGGGCAGCTGGACAACGCCTGGAAACAGCATCCCTGACCCTCATCATGTCCGGAGCCCCTGACCCAGGAGCTGTGGCCGCCCTGACCCCAGGGAGCAGGTAGGCTCTGAGGTTCCCCAACCATGAACCAGGAGCCAGCGCCGGGTGGACGCCTGAGATTCGGGGAGGGGGGCAGAGGAAGGGAAGGAGGAGAAGGCAGAGGAGGGGAGACGGGGGGGGGGGAGAGAGGGTGGCGGGGAAGGGGGGAGGGCTGCCTGCACCACGCAGGGCGGACACTGAGCTCCTGGGGCAGGAAGGGGCCTGGGGAGGGAGGGCAGTGGGGAGAAGCGGAAATGCCCCCTGGTGCCCCTGGGGGGTGGGGGCCCCTCATCCCGCGGGCACTGGGGAGCAGGTCGCCCCGTGCTCTCAGCCAGCGTGGGGGCACACGGGCTCAGCAGGCAGCTGGCGCCGAGGGGGGCGGTGACCACAGGCCCAGCGTGGCCCCTCCCCGCCACGTCCCCGCTCCCCACACAGGGACGCCGAGGGGGCGGGCGCCTTCGGGAAGAAGCAATAGCCTGGCCCTGGCCTGGCCACAGCCGAGCGGACGCAGGAGCGAGTGGAGAGTCTGCACTTTCCTCTGGAAGAGGCCGAGGTACCTCGAAATGGCAAAATGAGCCTTTTTCCACCATTGGAAGAAATGGAAAAAAGATTAAGTTCTCTTTTTCTTTGGCCAACGGTAGAAATGGAAAAAAGATTAAGCTGTTTCCACCACTGGTGGAGACGGGGGCAGCGCAGCGAGAGGCGTCGGTCCCCGCTCCACGCGCAGCACGGGCCCTGAGGCCAGCAGCGGCCGTGGGGAGAGGCCCCGACCTCCCAGCAGGCACAGCCCAGCACCACTGGGCCAGCCTGTCCCCCGCTAGGGCCCGGCTCCCCAGAGAGCAGATCTGGGGGCGGCAGCTGCGGCTGGGTGTCCAGGAGCGCCGCCTCCCACCTGCCCCCGCTGAGCCTCGACTCCTGACACCGGCCTTGCATCCGCGAGAGCGGAGTGAGGACGCGGTGCTCCGTGCAACAGAGACCGTCTGACAGAGAAAAGGGGTGTCCCCAGAAGCCCCGACTACTCCAGCTCCTGCCACGGTGCCGCAGGGGGCGGGGGACCCCCCGCCAAGGCCGGGTGGCCAGTCAGCAGGGACCGCGCGAGCCTCGCAAGCAGGGAGCCCTGTGCTCCCTACACCCACTGCTCCTCCCAGGCACCAGCTCGACTCTGTGGTTCCCCTCGTATTTCAAGAGCAGGAAAGCTCTCCCCACCCCATCTTTCTTTCCTCCGAGCTCCTGCTGCAAAGGGTACGGCACCCAGAAACCCATCAGGTGCCGTCCAGGAGCGGCGGCCCTCCCCCTGCAGGCTGAGATGGCAGCTTCAGGCTGGCGCGTGCCAGGCCTCCGCGTGCCGGGCGGAGTCACGGGTCTCAGCCTGAGCTTGCTGGATGGAGACACCCAGGCACTGGGGTCAAAGCAACGAGCACGGCTCAGATTCAGCCTCTGGCAGGCTCTGGACCTCCAGGCCAGGTGCCCGTTCCTGTGCCTGTGAGTGTCCCTCACCCCAGCCTGGCCGAAGGGAGATCAAGCCCCGGAGAAGCCCCCCCCAGGCCAGGAAGCGCCCCAAGAGGCTCCCACCTGACCATCCCTGAGCCTCAGCCCCTGCCTGGCCACACCCAAGGGCGACTGTAGGTGCCTCCTCCCTGCCTGCCGAGCCGAGCTCCCACTGCAAAGGGGACAAACAGCCCCCCAGCCCCAACTCGAAACACAGAGACCCCGACCTCGGTGCCCACTGCTGGCCCGCACCCGCTCCCCGCTCTCTGCCGCGCGCCGGGGCGGGCGTCTCCCCTGGTGGGAGGGGAGAGGGCGGCGGCCCCTTCGCTGTGCTTGACTTTGGCTTGGGTATAGGCGGGGGGCGCCCGCCACGCCCTCCTTCCCCCGCTGGCCCCAAATGTGGGGTTCTACTACCCTGAAGCACTTGGGCAGCCGCCAGAAGGCAGAGACAAACCCACCCCACCCGGGGTGAGAACGGCACTGGCCCGGCCGTCCACTGAGCTCTCGGGGTCCCCAGGATGGAGGCTGGGCAGCTACTGACCTGCAGGCGCCGTGGCCACTAGGGGAGCCCCAGGCCGGCCACCGCGCCTCCGGAGCTGGGTCCTGCTTTCTAGCTCTGCTCCTGCCTCCCAAGTCCTCGGGCCGCGGCCTGCCTGTCCTGGTCACGCGGCCTTCCCGAAGCCGTCCCGGCTTCCTACTCGGCCGCCTGCAGTCTGCTGTAGGCTGGGAGAGCAGACAGGCAGTCAGGGGGCGACGGGCCGGGCGGCCGCCTGGACGGGTCCTGGGACCCCGCAGGCCGCCCGCTGTCTGGGCTGAGCGGACACCCGGAGGCGCGGAGGGAGGATTTGGGGCCCCGGGGCGGGCGCCAGCCTCCTCGCAGGCTGCGCTTCCACAACAAGATCGCCCCGGCAGGCCTCTGGCGGGGCCCCTCGCTGATGCCGACGGAGCTGGGCTGGGGCGTGCACCCCACGTCCAGCTGACACGTGGGCAGCGCACGGCCACTCTGGGCCCGCTCCGGCCACGGGGTGGCTTCGCCCGAGCTACCGCGGGCACAGCGGCTCACTCTCCCTCCCAAAGCTTTCAAACCTAAAATCTCAAACTCTTCATAGCAACAAGTTTGAAGCCGACGGCTTCCCTTCAGCTGGCCGGGCCAGCCCGCGCGGCGTTGGGCTCACCACCGCAGACCACCTGGGTCAGCACCTCCAGCGCCGTTTTGTCTACCAGCGCGGCCTCCGGACAGAGCCTCTGACCCCGCTCACCCCGGCTGGGTCACCTCCTGGCCCCAGTTTCCTCCCCACAGCCGGGCTGCTGCTCCGGGTCAGAGGCTGCAGCCCCCGGCGGAGACGCCGAAGCCAGCTCCAGTGTGCTGGAGCTCGGGGTGGGGCTCTGGGGGTCACAGGTGGCGAGGGGGAGCCTGCCACACGGCGCAGGCCTCTCGGGCCCCGGACCTGCCCCTCCCTGGCCTGCCCGGATGGCGGGCGAGTGTCGGTCGGCCGCAGCAGCTCAGGCCGGGCAGGGGAGTGGTGGCGGACGACGAGAATAGTGGGGGCAGGAGAGAGCAGCATAACCGTCCACACGGTCGAGGAAACCATACCC